GTAATGTAGAATCTTACAAAAAATTTTGTGGCGGCAACAATCCATTTCAAATACTATATATGACAACGATATAGCCAAAAAAAAATTCTCTCCAAAACACGTTTTTTGTAACAATTAACACTATCACCGTAAAAAACTTACCTCAAAAAAGCCTAATTGTAGATAAGGGAGAAGATTCATTTTATTGCTCCCCCCAGGAGTACACATACACGTAACAAGACTAAGTTTTCTGGTCTTATCAGCCTGTGTTACCAAAGTGATCGAAATATACGATTAAGATTTCGATATTGACTTTGAGTCTTTTCTTCCAAGTCGCTATAAGGTTCAATGGTCACTTATGATATAACTAAACCAAGCTTTCTCTCATAGCAGGGACCTCCCCGAGGGGGATTAAGGGGGGTAACGTGCTATGTTCAGAGTAGGAAACTGGAGTATAAGTAGCAATAGCTGCCTCTTTCTATAGAGATCTAATTAAAAGGTTCAACAAGAGTCGGAGAAGCATAACTTATCCTTCTTGGTCATAAGCTGAGTATTTGGTAGATCACATCACTGCATTTCCACATAATGTTTCAAGAAAGATATGGTAAAGATCTGTTTTGTGGCCTTTTTCACCCCAGCATGATAAGTTGGTATATAAGAGAGGTCCGTAGAAGGAGATCTTTCGCCAGAACTCCTAAAGGCCCTTGCTTTTCACCCTCAAGATAAGGGTTTCTCTCTTATATAAAATGAAGCAAAGGGCATGGTGCTAAGGTGAAGAAAGCTCAATAAATACACACGAACACACATGCAGGGCATAGCATAAATGAAACTGCTAATCATTTCATGAAAGATATATGCTTGACCTTTCTTGATGCTTTTTTTTGGGTGATAGATTTCCGTAGTTTATCCACACGTGAACAAAGGAAGTGGTAACCAATAGATTTTCCATAGGTTTCATTATTATAGCCTGTTGCGTGCATGAATGACAGCCTGTCATCATCGTCAATGTGACCAGAGTCAAACCCCACCGTCAACTAGGGATTGTGTGCTCTAGTTGGGGAAAACAAAAGTACGATAATAAGCATAGGTAAGGAAGAGGGTTAGACCTTTGCGCAGGTATAGAGTTAGCCCGATTTTTAGTTTGCCCTTTTTTTGATAGTCCGGCAGATATTAATATGGTGATGTGCACAACAAGTACATATGGGCAGTGTATTTGATAAAATATGTTGTCCTTAGTTATGGTGTTATAATATGTGACAACGAGGTTGATTCAGTATACCATACTTCATTAGGCCGGTTAGGAGTGAAGATTTCATTACAGAAATCTTTAGTATATGATACTGGTGCTGGTGAGTTTGCTAAGAAGTATCGGACTTGTGACTTGAGTATAGATTTCTCACCTATATCAGTCAGAGCCCTAAATTTTTATCACCCTTATGGTCTTGTAGCCTTGAATCTAAAGTATAATATACACCCAAGGGTTATTTGGTTGTGCCCATTACACCATGGACAATCAATTTAGTCAGAGTCAAATTCTTCACCTTGAAAACCAAAGCCGAACATATCTGCAAAGGCACTCTATTTATTGAGGATCCATTTTTGAAGAATTCCTCCTTAGGGAGGAGGGTCAACCTCGCATCAACACTAGAATATAAAGTAGCCTGTTATGGAATGACAATCAAACTGAGTCAATGAAATCGTTGTCTGAAAATGTGACCATTCCATTCGATATATATATCCAAGTTTTTTGTAGTCTATGATAAACATCCAATATAAATATGTCACGTGGTCGGACAGCTACCGATATCTATTAATGTATTTTCTCAAAATGTTCTTGTTAAATTGATATCTATCTATTTATATCGTAAACTCTCGGATTGAGTTTTACTTAGATTTGATATTTACGAGCCTCATTAATTGTGATATTAATCTTAGGAAAAAACGAAAAAATGAAAAAAAAATAATATATAGACTTATAAAGATTTTTTATGTAATTGTCTATTAAGGGTGTCTACACCCATCCCCATGATCTTGGGCTGTGTCTTGTAGTGTGTGTTGATTAACTATTAAAATTGTTATTTTATTATATTTAATATTTGGTTAATTGTATATTATTGTGGTTAAATGTGTGAATTTTTTGATTTTTGATTTTGATATTTTTTTTCTAGTTGTTTAATTTATTTTGCAGGTAAATTGGTTTAGTTAAAAATAATAATGGATAAGACAAATAAACAATCATTAAAGGAAGAATCACAATTGATAAGAATTGAAGAGTCATGATTGAGATAGGAAAATTTGAAGATATATCACTAATTCTAATCTTTATAAAAGTCCAAATTATAAGAAATTCATTTAAAGTTGAATTATGAAGTATCCTAAAAGATAAGAGATTTGATTATATTTTGTATTTTACTTTGTCTATTTCTCTGATATCTGATTGACTTGATTTTTGCGGAGTTGGAAAGAAGAAAAGCTACAAAAGTGTATTCACAAAAATTTTGTGAATCAACCTTTAAAAATGTGAAATTCAAGTTCAAAATTTGGACAAATTTTGTACTCGCGCCCCAAAATTTTATGCACAGAATTTAACCTTACAAGACTTCTTTTTGAAAAAAAATTTCTTCCAAGACCAACCTTATATCTTTTATATATACTTAAGATTTATTTTAGTATAAATAAGGGCTCTCATCTATTGAGAGAGGATAATTAGGATTATTCTTTTCCCATCTTTTTATTTTGATTTTAGTTTGTCATGTCTAACTAAAAGGTTTATCTAGGGTTAAGGGAGGACCTCTCAATGAAGTACAGTAATGTCATTGACTTATGAGCTTAATGATATGTGATATTTTGTTAATTTAACTTTTGATTTCTTAACAAAAATTTTTCTCTGTAAAAATTCTTGAGTCATTATGTCATGTACATTGATTGCTTGAATTTTCCTACGAGTTAAATAATTGATTATTTCATACTTAAGTTGATTATCATTATTTTACAGAATAATATAAATGAATGATTATTCATGTTCCTAAATAATCTTTTGATTACAAACAAAGGTGTTCTTGTGGTATTATTGTTAATTTGGTGACTTGAATCAACCGATATTTGATGCTCTAATATTTTTCATATTGTTTTAATTACTTTAATTAATTTTCTCAATTCAAAATTTTTCTCGTAAAATATTATCAATTCCCGTCATTTCTCGCACAAAAAAAAATTATTCGGAATCACGTTTTCGTAACGTTTTTTAAAAACGTCGCAAAAAAATTTACAACAAAACTATTTGCGAACCAATTATTAAATCGTCTCGGACAGTACAATTTGTGCGACGAAACAAAAATTTCGCAATTAATATTCTAATTCTAATTTAAAATTACAAAATAAATTCTAATTTGCCACCAATATTAGAACGTCACGAAATAATAATTTTATTTAATATAAAATAAAAATTATATTCTACGACAAATTTTTAAAAACCTCGCAAAAAAATACCTATTCCCAACAACATAATAAAAACGTCGCTATTTAATAGCAATTAAAATATATATTCTGCGACGATAATATTAAACGTCAGGAATTAATTATTTTGACTTTATTTTGATTCTGATTCAATATTTTTTTTTTTGTGACGAATTGAAACTATCCACGACAAAAAAAAAATTATCGCAAAATTTTTCAACTCCTGCCCTTTTCTCGAGCCAACAAATTTTGGTGGGAATCACCATTTCGCAACGTTTTTTAAAAACGTTGCAAAAAATTGCCAAATAAATTATTTGCGACAAAAATATGAAATTGTCGCAAAAATTAATTTTTTGCAACGAAAAAAAAAACGTCGTAATTAATATTTTAATTCAAATTTAAAATTTAAAATTAAATAATTTTATTTAATATAAAATAAAATTATACTTTTTGACGAATTTATAAAAACGTCGCGAAAAAACACCTATTCCTGACCTTTCTAACGCAAAAAAATATTTGATGGGAATCACCTTTTAGCGATGTATGCTAAAAAATGTCGCACAAAATGCCAAATACCCTATTTGCGACAAAAATATAAAATCGTGGCGAAAAATTCACTTTTTGTGACAAAAAAAAACGTCGCGATTAATATTTTAATTCTAATTTATAATTTAAAATTTAAAATTATTAATAATTTTATTTAATATAAAATAAAAATTATATTCTGCATCGACTTTCTAAAAACGTCGCGCAAAAACACCTATTCATGCCCTTTTCTCGCGCCAAATTTTTTTGGTGCGAATCACTTTTTCGCGACGTTTTTTAAAAACGTGGCGAAAAAACTGTCAAATATACTATTTGCGACAAAAATATAAATCTTCACGAAAAATTTATTTTTTGCGACAAAAATAAAAACTTCGCAATTAATATTTTAATTCTAATTGAAAATTAAATTCTAATTTCCGACCAATATTAAAACGTCGCGAAATAATAATGTTATTTAATAAAAAAATTATATTCTGCGACGCATTTATAAAAACGTCGTGCAAAAATAAATATTCCCGACAAAATATTTAAAAACGTCACAAATTAATATTAATTAAAGTTTATATTCGGCGACAATAATATTAAACGTCGTGAATTAAATATTTTGAGTTTATTTTTATTTTAAATTTTTAATATTTTTTTGATGACGAAGTAAACTATCCGCGACAAACAAATTTTGTCGCAAAAAATATCAACTCCCGCAATTTTTCTTGCGCCACAAAAAATTTGGTGGGAAATACTTTTTCGCGATGTTTTTTAAAAAGCGTCGTAAAAAAATGCCAAAATCAATTTTTACGACAAAATTATTAAATCATCACGGAAAGTTCATTTTTGTTGTAGTGAGTATTGGCGTGATTGTTGCTGTTTCACAATTTCTTAAAAGTTCTACCTCAATCTTTCGGAAAATATATTACATTGCTGAAACCGTGCTTGAGTTTACATAATTAAATTGAAGCATGTCTAACAAAGAAAAGTTATAGGACAGCTTAGTTATAGGAGTCATATGGCATTGGCTCGTGATGCCCGATAAACTCTCGATATTTTGTCGATGCTCACACGTAGAAAACCTCAATTGGATAAAGTATATATATTCCTTTTTACTCAAACAACACATTGGATCAAATTATATACGAAAAAAGTAAATCCAGGAACAGTTACCAGAGCAGCATGGAAAGAAAAAAAAAAACTCCCTCATGGGTGTGTTTTTAACTCATCAATGAGCTCATTTAATGTATTCCATGACGACCCACCTTTTTCAACAGCTTTGATGGCCATCTGACCGATTTCCTTCACCTTCTTCCTCACGTCTCTCCCCATCTCTCCCTCCATTAATTCTCTCACCATCTTCTCCAATTCTTCCCACTTCACAAACCCTCTCACAGACCCATTGCATGTTTCTACCCTTAGACCTATCTTGATATCCTCCACCACCATCCGAGCATTAATTGGTTGCTCCGCCATCATCGGCCACGCCAGTATCGGAACCTTTGCGCATATGCTCTCTATCACCGAGTTCCAACCACAATGACTCAGAAACCCTTGAACGCTGTAATGACCAAGAATCTTCCTCTGGTCAACCCAATCTCTCACTAGAATTCCTCTTTCTTTCACTCTCTCTTCAAACCCATCATCGAGTTCAGATTCATTTCTTCTCACAACCCACAAAAAATTAACTTCTGATTTTTCCAATCCGATTTTGATCTCTCGGAACTGGTCAGAGGAAATTTCTGCTTGAGACCCAAATGCAACGTACAGGACTGATTTTCCATCAGCTAGCTTTTGGTCTAGCCACTGCATGTATGGTGGTTTCTGATAATTTTCTGATTCGAATTCAACACTTGGTGGCTCAGCTAGACAACAAGGTCCCACACACCATGCCCTGGGTTCATAGTGGCTATTCCAGTAATCAACGTACAGCTGCTCAAGCTCATAGAAGCTGTTCATGACTAGGCCATAGCTTTTTGAGGTTGATATGACCGAGTCTAAAATGAACTCGGAATGAGGACCCTTTGGTTCAGGGTCAGTGAACGGTGGTTCGAAGTCATTTCTTGTGAGCTTGATCCATGGAAACTTTGTCACCGTGAATAACTCATCGGCTGACTCTTTTTCGAAGAGAAGCCGATTCTCAACCACAAATCGGCTCATGGTCATAGCGAAATTGCTCATACCATAATAGACCAGCCGAGGAACACCAAACTTGGTGGCCGAGTCTAGGGTCCAGCCTAGAAATCCGTCGGAGATGATGAAAGTTATATGTGGTAGAGTCTCCAAGGCTTTTTCGAATCTGGGTTTCATTTGTTTTGTAGCGGTGGCGAGAGAGACGAAGAGAGACATGGAGGGGAGTTTGTCGGTGCTTTCAATACCGGCGGGTATGCCATCGATGTTTTGAGGGAAAGGAAGGTCGATGACGGAGGCGGTAGTGTCGGAGAGGGAGTTTGAGATGAAGGGACGGTTGGCTGGGGTGGTGAAGATGGTGACGGCGATTCGGCGGTAGAGGAGGAGGCGAGCTAGGTGGAGTAGTGGGATGGTGTGGCCTTTTGACATGAATGGAAATAAAACAGCGTGAGGATCAGATTCAGATGACCATGAACCCGAGGGAAGAGAAGCCATTGTTGTGTTTATGTTCGACTTGAATTGCAATATTTAAAGGTGGAAGAGGAAGTCTCTTTCTTGTTAGACGAGACAACTGGAATTAAAAATTAAATTTGATTATTTTTATTATAAGTCCCGTATTTATTGAAATTTATTATCTACTCAATGATTGAGATTATTAAATTTAATTTTTAAATTTATCTAACATTATTCGGAACCTTTTGTTCAATGAGAGGAATGTTATATGAAATTAAAAATAGACCTAAAAATTGAACTTAATAATTAGAACTATTGATTGTATTGTGGATCTCAGCATTTATTAGGACTCACTGCTTATTCAATATTTCAGATTATCAAATCTAATTTTTAAGTTCACGTAGCATTAATCGTTAAACAATATAATTTATAATTTTTTTTTAAGTCAGTTGTCCGATTATTCTGGAAGAGAGTCGTCGTTTTCTACTTTTCTTCATATTCAAGGATTGTAAAAAATTATTGAGTCACGTCATTACTACGTGCTTTTACCCCAACCGTGGACTTTTCAAACTTATACTCAAAAGAGTGTGTTTTTTCAAACTATTTTTTAAATTTATGTATTTTTAGAAACGTCATTTTAATCGTATTTTTTTATACCAAAAAATATTAGCCGTTGTGTAAAATATCATTCCCACCAACACCTTTGAAAAAATTTTATATTTTTAAAAAATCACATAAAACATTGATCGGACTAACGACTTAAAACGTTACTTGACTGTGTTGTTAACATGACTTTGAACAGAGCTTGCACACGGAGGAGACCGAGACCATGTGCTGTTTTTCAATAACAGCGGAGCCGCTCCCAGAAAATGACAGTACATAAATTTTGTCCAACATTTTTAAGAAGATGTCGGTCCAATCATCGTTTTTGATTGAGACAGTAATGTTAGTGATTGAGAAAGGAACAGAAAAAAAATAGGGTTAATTATAAATTGTATTTTAAAACTTTAATTTGTACTTTCAAAGATAAAAAATTTTATTTTATACCCTCAAAAATAAAAATTTATATCAATGTGCATCTCTAAAAATCAAAAATCTTAATTTATATCCTCAAAGATAAAATTTGTATCAATGTGTACAACTAAGCGTCGTCAATTTACTACTTAAAATTAAATTGATAAATTATAACTAGATCCTCTCATGTTTGTCACTTAATCATTTGGACCATTTCACATTTAGAATATTATTCCTATATCTCATGACGTTTTGTACACGTGTAACACGTAACCTTTTTTAGTTGATATATATTAATATACTGTTAAAAAATATAATTTATATTACCCTTTATTTTGTGAGTTCAATATACTCTAAAGTTTAAAATCAAGTTTACAATTTGAATATCCAATAGAATGTAGGTATTTATATAATATTTATTATATCTAATGGAATATATCACTTAAACATAATTATTTGAATACCCAATTGGGGGGACATTTTAGATTAAAAATATTTTTATTAGGATTTTATAACCGTTTAAAAAATATAATTTTATTCTAATAAAAAATTATAATTTCATATTACCATTTATTTTGTGAAGGGGTCCAAATGATTAAGTGACAAGCATGAGGGAATCTAGGTATAATTTATAAATTTAGTTTCAGACAGTAAATTGAGGACAATTAGTTTTAAGTGCACATTATACAAATTTTTATTTTTGAGAGTGTAAATTGAGATTTATTATATTTGAGGGTACACATTGATACAATTTTCTATTTTTTAAGATGTAAATTGAGATTTTTTATCTTTGGGGGTACACATTGTTACAACTTTTTTATCTATGAGGGTACAAATTTAAATTTTTGATCCTTAAAGGTGAAAATTGATATTCAAACGATCTTTGAGAGTGCAATTTATAATTAATCCTATAAAATAACATAGGAAGAAATTCATGTTTGGGTACATGGATTTTTAAAAAAAATTCAAAAATGCCCCTAAAGAGGTAGACACACGTGACATGTACACGATGTTCTCTGTCAATTTTTTGAATGGCAGTTAGTGCTCGGGGGCATGTCGAGCACTTATGACCACCCCCCGGCCATTTATGTTTCTCTGATCAGTGCTTGACACTTATTCCCGAGTTTTAATGTTGGGGGTATAGTACCTTAGATTTATCAAGAGCAACTGATCGGCGCAATGAGCATTAATGCTTTTTAATTATGACTATCAATTTGAGTCTTATGGATGAAGAAGCTCATTAATAGCTCTATCACAGCTACTCAAGTTCTCATTAATGAGCTGTCATATCTCCTTAAATACTAATCTCAGCCTGTTTACTCGGCTCCTCCGAGTAATGACTCCTAGACACCATTTTTTCCACTCCTTTTGAGTTTCATAACGACTATAGCAATTCACGTGTCAATTTAGAGGTTGCTGAGTCGCCTAAAATCTCCTCATATATATATATATATAACTTACAGAGATTACTTGCTCATGCCCTCACTCTGTTTGGTTCTAAGAGAAATTTAAATGGAAGACAAAAGATGGATGAAATGTGGAGGGGAAAGAAAAATGAAGAGGAAAGAAAAATAAGATGGAAAAGATATGCCTTTCCGCCCATCATTTATAATCCAGCCAAATTTGAGCAGAAAATAGATGAAAAAGTGTTATCCAAATGTTAAATTTAGGGAAAATTTCAGTCGCATCTCTTCTAGTTTATCATATTTTTAAGAATACTTTTTTTATTATCCAAAACGTCATCAACACCCTTTTTTAGCTTATATTTAAACATCACCGACATCCTCTGCTATTAAACTACTATTTCTAACAAAAAAACAAATCATCTAAAATATCAAAATTACCCCTACATAAACTCTAAATAATCTTTCTGCATAAAATTCGATTAAAATTCAAGTCGATTAAAATTTATTTTTCTACATATTAAATTTGAGCTGATTAAAATTTATTTTTCTACATATTAAATTTGAGCTGATTAAAATTTATTTTTCTACATATTAAAATTTATTTTTCTACATATTAAAATTTAAGCTGATTAAAATTCAATTCGAGCCGATTAAATTTTATTTTTTTTAAGTATTAAAATTCGAGCTGATTTGAGCTCTACTTGCATTGTTAGCAGCGATTAAAATTTGGTTCAAATCAATTAAAATTTATATTTGTCCGTATTCAATTTGTGTCAATTCAAATTTGATTAAAATTAATCTTTTATGTATTAAAATTTGAGTCAATTAAAATTTATATTTTTTTATGTATCAAAATTTGGATCGATTAAAATTCAACTCGAGTTGATTAAAATTTGATTCGAGCAGATTAAAAATAAATTTTAATTGGCTCAAATTTTAACACGTAAAAAAATATAATTTTTAATCAACTCATATTCTAATACGTAAAAAATAAATTTTAATCAAGTCAAATCGAGTTTAAATTAGCCTGAATTTTAATACGTAAAAAATTTTAAAAAATAAAGGGGGTTTTATTTAAGATATGTCTATTTAGAGGGAGTCTGGATAAAATTTTTTCTGAAATATATCATGAATAATTTAATAAAATTACATTCTAATTAGCACTTTTAATCTAATAGGAGTGTCAGTGAAAATTTAAAAAATAGAGAAATATTATTAAAGACATAATAAATTAAAAAGGGTGAGATTAAACTTTTCCCTTAAATTTAACAAAAGAAAGGTGGTGGGATCCACATTTTTTGTGTTGGTACAAGCCAACATAACGGTGGACGCATGAGATATTTTTACTCTATATTTTTATGAGTAATATTACTGAGATATAATTTGGAGACTTAATGATTGTAGTCATTATATTGTCAGTGGATTCTACAATTAAATTATCACTAGATCCTAATACTATTAATCTAATAATTATAATACATTAAGTTCTTAAATTATGTCTCAATAATTGTAATATATTTTTATACAACCAAAAAGAGTATTCATGAATACAAGCCAACATAATTGTGGGACCCATGAGAAATATTTATTTTTCAATCCCTTCTACCAAATAAGAATGAGAAAATACTATTTTTTTACCCCGTCCTATTTTCGATTCCTTCTGAGAAACATACCATATACATGTTTATAGTGTTGGTGGACAATGTCAAAGGAAACATGAAAGTCCATGACATTGTGCCTTCATTATTAGGGAACCTCTACGGTACCGTTAAAATACAAAAAACTTATAACGTTTTTTAGTTGTTAGTTATAATTTTAAAAGATATGATCGATTATAAAAATTTAGGATCGATATCACATTTTTTATGATCGATTATAAATGTCTATAATCGGTCATGAGCTTCGTTTGAACAATTATAATTTTTCTTTTTAAAATTATAACTTTATTATAAGAAATAGTAATTGACGATAATGATATCCAAAAAAGATGAGAAAATTTTGAATAAGTATTATTTTTCCCCCACAAACATCCTTTAAACCCTATCATTTTTGTTATATATTAATGAAATTCTATTCTTGATATTTTATTTCAATCAAATCTTAAAATTCTATTATATTCTAATTTTGTCCTTACCTCGTTAGTTATTAAAACTCTTTTATTCTTTTGCATTCTTAGAATCAATTAAGAAAACAAAAATTCATTACTTACAAAATTAACATCAAAACCTATAAAAAAAAAATGAGCTAACATAAACTTTAAGGCATGACTTAAAAAAAGCTCACATTTTCTTACTTTCTTATTACTATTTCCTAGTCTTACTCCAAAGGAAATATCTTCTCGGGTCCCCCCCCCCCCCCCCCCTCCCCTAAAAAAAAAAAAGCCACCCGCCAACCAACCGAAAAAGTAGGTAATATTACATTCTTCTAGTCTACGAAGAATTTGAAGGTACACAGAGAGTATTAGGATTTAACATCGGGTAAATTTAATTCCGACATATATTTATATGAATTCTTGGAAACCCCTCTCTTTTTAAGTTGATTTTCAAAAATAAGTTTTACCTACGTTACTATTTTTTAAATGCATCTGTCTATAGATTTCAAATCAGCTGTACTGCTGTCTGA